AACTCTGCCCTTATGTGTGGACACCAGCCCCAGCTGCTTAGCTATTAATTCTCAAGCATGGATAACTGGCTGATCTTTAATGAAACTAGCCATATGTTCTACATGATAAAGGGTGAGGCATTTAAAACCTGGAAACTTGTAAAATTATGAGTTACCCGCATGTCATTGCCAAGTCTCAAATGGCAGGGGCCACATGGAAAGGTGTTAAGAAATGACACTGTAACTTTTGATAGGGGGCCCCATGGAAAATTGCTCTATCTCTTTCTGCTGTGGCATCCAACACCTCTCATACTTTCCCCAAATAGTAGTTGGGCATAGGGGGGCTTTATCCCCCATGCCTGGATTAAAAATGTTTGCCATAAGCCTGAATTTTTGGTGTGGCTACTTTAATATTGCCATCAATTTTGCCTTGACAGCTTTCAATGCATAGAAAATAACCATGTATCCTCTGTAGCTCTTTTGAATTTAATAAATAAAACAAAAGGGGGGAATTGAGGGATTTCTCCCAAGGTGTTGCCCCCAAGGAAAGTAGGTCAGATTATTCTCCCTAAGGGTTATCAGCCATGTAGAGCAGACTGTAAAGTCTGTCCCACCCGAAGTAGGGCCCACTCCCTTCTGATAAGGATAGTATAGATTGTTTCCCTGGAGAGTCTAGGGAGGTCAAGCCCACTCAGGGGTCAACAATGTAAGGCTGCCATATTGGGTCTAGGGTCTGCCACATGTGTAGCCCTAGTCCTTCCCCTTCCTACTGTGTATATCCCTAGCTCATCCCCTTCCTGTGACGCGTACCAGTAATCATGCCCCTAAGTATATATGGGCCTTGGTGAGAGATAAAGAGCTCTCTCCTGCCCTCTCGTCCCCCACCTCTGCGTGTCCCACCAAGAGGAGCTGCGGTGTGCATGCCGCCATGAAGTGTGTCTGGCTTCTCTATGATTCTCTCCTGTGCTCCGTGACTTTGCTCTAATCTTTATATATCTTAACTGTACGACTGCTCCTGCTGAACCCGTAATTAGTTGTGGGGGGCTGGTTACCCCCACAATTGGTATTCATTAAAATACTTGAGCTCATAAAGGTATTTTTTAATTGGGGTTCCATTACCTTTTTGTTTGTGAAATCGTTGTGATTTCTGAAAAGAAACAGGTCCTTTCGATGCTTCTGAAGTTGTAATATCATAAGCACCTGGTGATGGCGCACAACCTAAAGGACATACAACACATGGTCATTTAGTGCTAATTATGACCTTGCTATGTCATAGTCAAAGTGCCATTGAAAAGGTAATTGCTTCTTCGTTTTATTGAAAATAGCATAAAGCAGAGAGGTTATATCATTATCTTTCCAAATACTCTTTATTTCAACTGGATCAAATGAACATGTACAACGGAATCAAAGAGTAATGACAGTATTGGGATAAATATCATACAGTGACAATCAATATGGCTTTATTACTAAGGATTTAATATGAGAAACAATAAAATATTTGGTATCAACTCTACTCAAAATTATTGAAGTAGCTAAAATCAAATTCTAGAAATGAAACAAAAGATATCTACTCATTAGGATTTAGTCTAAAAATGTATTATAATCTTTCTCTGATTATTGCCAGTACAGCAGACTCACTGATGATGCCATTAAAGTCTTAATGAAATAATAAAAGAAACCAGGCTAAGAGCAATTCAAAATTCTGGGACACTTACCAGATGCCAATCATTATTTTAAGTATTTTAAGCATATAACCTAATGTTAAAATCACAAATGTCCTACAATAGATTAATTCTAATTTACATATAAGGAAGTTTACTTAGGTGTGGAGAATTTATAAAGTCAGATTACTCAAAGTATTGACTATACATTGGTATCTTTTGATGTTCCAGAAACTTATACATTATCTCACTTAGAAGAAGTCTCAAATTGAGGCAACTCCACTTACTTTATTCTCAGCAGATTTGAAATCAGGCCCTCCAGACTTTCCATTAAAAAATGTCCTTATTACAAATTTTTAGATGATTAGGAACCAGTAGATTTGTACAAGTCTCTGAAAAACTCTATTTTATATATTTTACTATCGACTTTCGTACAAATAAATAGAAATAGCAAGGAGCCTCTCATATCCCAAGCAAGGCAACAACTGCTATCATAAATGTTTTTTTAATGACATGCAGGGACTCATTAGTATGCCTGGTTAGCATTACACACACACACACACACACACACACACACACACACACACACACACACAGCTATAAAAAATACATACTAGCGGTCGCATTGCTAGGTGCTGGCTATCAGGTTGATTTTTTTAAACAGTTTTATTGACATTTAATTCACATATCACACACTTCAACAGTTTGATCATATCAAAAGAAGTTGTACAATTATCACCACAATCATTTCTAGGACATTTTCTTCTTTCTTGTATGCACTGCTACCGCTCCCCATTTCCCTCTACCCTCCTCTCCCATACTCCAAAGAAGCCATTAATCCAGTTACTGCCTTTATAGATTGACCTATCCTAGATTTCATATACTGGAAAACATACAAAATAAAAAATAAACCAGAGAAACATCTCAATTGAAAAGTAGAAGATATTAAAAACCAGAACTTAAAATTAGTCAAAAGAGAGGTACATTTTTAATCTAACGGTTCTGCAATGATCCATTTTCCACTGCTTACTGCACCATAGCAAGGTTATTTACAAAGAGGAAATTCAGTGGATGTTCAATTTGCCTGAATTTCCTCTTCCTTTTTTTTAAAAAAATCTATGAAACAATCTACAATGGGTCAAAAGGGACATCAAATGATAAGGCCTTACATTTTAACCCAGCCTCATCTACCATCATCCAGGTAACAATGCTGGTGGACAGCAAAGTTATTCACATCCCTCCACTATGTTCAGGGGGCACACACCAGAGGCTTAATCCAAGTAGGGACACTGCAAATGGATTCTGGATTTACACTGTCATTCACAGCCTTTTGCAAACCGAGTATTCACAATTTAAGCCTTTCAATCTCCAGATGCTATTCTTTCTGATAGCCAGGCACCATCTTTCTTTACCACACTTTGCTGAAGCAACCATATTTTCAGTGATTTTTATGAGGGTAAGTATGGAGCAGGGCCATGTGCTAAGAACAAACTGTCTTTAAATTGAGGCTAGAATTAAGTGTGGGCTCAATATTCACCCACATATCTATGGCTTACATATGTTTTTGGTTTACTTTAGAGGTTTCATTATTTTATGATTGTCAACCATCCCCAAGGCAAAAGGTAATCCTTTAGACAGTATCATTAATTTATCTATTGGCATAGAAAGACATTGTTGAGAAAAGGAAATTATACAAGTATAGGCTGGCTCTGAACTGCATACATGAATTGTTAATTTGTACAGATTAAATTCTTAAGTAAAGGGGCACTACTATTACACTAACAGTGGGGGCTGGTGATAGGGCAAATTTTCCAGCAACACCCATTCACAAAAGCAGGATCATGCCCATCAGAAGAAAGCAAGGCATTAAAATAGTAAGTATAAGGCAGTTCTGGGCACCTTTTATTGGGGACCCTAAAAGTAAGGAATCCGAATCCTAGGTGGTTTTTGACTCATAGTGACCCCATGTGACCTGAAGAGCTGCCCCATTAGGTTTCCCAGGCAGCAATTTTTCCCCCCCTTTTCCCGGTTTATAGACATATAAAACCTATACATTTCAATGGTTTAAACATATTTAAAAAGTTATGCAATCATCACTACAATCAATTTTAGAATCCTTCATTCTTGTACTGCCCTGTTTCCAGGACTAAAACTTTTTATGGGAGTAGGAAGTAAGTAGTCTTCCTCCTGCAGAGTGACTGGTGCTTTTGAATTGCTGATCTTGTGGATCAGATCGTGAGGGACCCCTACATCACCGAGCATCTCATGGCAAACATAGACTTGACAAAAAGTATTAATCTTAGCATGCTCAGATTTCCCAAACGTTGTAAACTGTTTATATACTACAGTGAGGACTAGGGCTTACCAAGGCTTTCAAAAATCAGGCAAGTATGATAAATCTTCCTAGAGCATTCATTTTACTCATTTGGGCTAAGAGTCAGGAAGCAGTATTGGTGGTGGTGATGGTTGCTGTATACTTATCTAGGACTCCTGATGACCTCCTACGTGCACAGTAGAATCAATCCACATGGTTTTTAGAAGCAGACATCTAGGCCTGTATCCTGTGGTGCCTCTGGGTGGGTTCAAGCTGGGAACTCCTGAAATCATGTTAGGGATGGCATTTCTTCTTAGAGCAATCATTTTATTCTTTTGGATATGGAGTAGGGAGGGAAGAATTTAATCTGTACAAATTAGCAATTCATGTAATGCGGTTCAGAGCCAGCCTATACTTGTATAACTTCCTTTTCTCAACAACGTGTTACAGTTTATGCCAATGGTTAAATTAATAACACTGTCAAAAGGATTACCTTATACCTTAGAAGGATGACTAAAATAATGAAGCCTCTAAAGTGAACCAGAAACATATGTAAACAATAGATATGTGAGTGAATTTCGAGCCCACACTTAATTCTACATCCTTTTTCTTTTAACTCTATTTTCCCCACAAGCTTTTTAATACCCCCTCCCACCATATTTGACTCTTCCATTTAAGAAAATAAGTTTGTGCTGCTTTGGTCTTCCTTTATGAGCAGAGGGGGCACAGAGTTTTATATTCACAAGTTAGCTGACAGAAATTAAAGATACAAGAGAGCATCTAATAGAGTATAATACACAGTGTTCACCTGTACCACTTATTGACTGCTAATAACAAGACCCCTGTTTTCTCAACGGTAAAATGAGGACAATAATCAGTACCAGACTATACAAGAAATAAACGAAATGATGAGGGAAAGACCTTAGCCCCAGTCCCAGTGCTATGCTTAAGAGCACACACAGGTCAGGCAGGTGGTGGCCTAGAGTCATACCTCAGCTAAGCCAAGGGTTGTCTGTGTACTACTGGGAAAATAATTTTACTTCACTTCAGACATTTAGTCCACACAAAAAATAGTATCTCTTAAAAGTATCTGTTAAGGACTTTAAGGAGAACCCAAGTAAAGATTTCGTATAATGCCTGGCATCAGTCGATGCTAACTCATAGCGACCCTATAGCACAGGATAGAATTGCCCCTGTGGGTTTCCAAGATTCTAACTCTTTACAGGAGTAGAAAGCCCCCAAAGGGGCTGGTGGTTTCAAACTGCTGACCTCACGGTTAGCAGGCCCAACTCATAACCACACCACCACCAGGACTCTAGTATATGGATAAGTGGTCAATTCTGGCTGTCATTAGGTCAGCTATATTGTTTTCAATAAGTCCTACTGCTGTAATTTTACACCAAGTACCTGCCTTTACCAATAATAATTTATGCCCGGATGGAATATCCAAAAGAAACCCATAACAGAGGCTTTCTCACCCCAGTCTCCTTCAGCCTGCCTTACTTTCACACCACTAAGTTTATAGACTAATCCTCACTTGCAGGTTAAGAGCTATGGGCAGGAACTGGTTTCATTCACTGCAGTATCTTTAGCAACCACAGCAGGATATGCAGTGTTGTAGTTAATTATTGTGGAGTACATTTCAACACAGCAAGTTCATAACAAGCAGTAAAAATTAATACGCTTGAGAAAATAAATCAATTCAAACGTATCCGTTCCCAGTCTTTCAGCCTCTGATGAAGGGAACTCAGGAGCCTAGAACTTCTCCCGTACCCCAGCTCCTTCCCCATACGCACCAGAAGGGTCATTGAATCGTTTCAGAGGCGCTTTAGGAAATGACATGCTGAAGATGAACTCCACTAACAGAAGATCACAGGATTTAGGCGAAAGCGCCGGCAGGTAATCTCAATCTACTCTCTTCAAATTCAAACTACCCGCACATTCCCAGCCCATAAGAACCTCCGCCAATTGGAAAACGATATCCATGGTGTAAGCCAATCACACACGGGAATGCTAACCGAGCATGCGCACAATGATTTAGCTTGCCCAATGAAATGGACTGTGAGTCAAAGCTACTAGCCAATAGGAATCTACCTTTCACTGCTCTCCCGCCCCCCGCCCCCGACAATTTCTGACGTCTCCATTTGACCAAAATAGGAGATTTGGGAAGTTGCGTTTTGGTGACAATCATGTAGCGTTTCCATTTAATTGCTTCCAACCTTCTCCCACTCTTCTGGGGATGCAGAATATTCTGAGTTTCAACTTTTCTATATTGGTCTTGAATACCCGTCCAAAATGATTACAGAAAAGGAAAAATGGCACACGCCCAAACGCCCTCTATGCGCAAGCGAGGGCGGGGCATAGCTGCGCACGGGCAGTCTGCGCACGGGCAGTCGTCTGCGCGCGTGCGCCCTGCTCGCAAAATTGAGCGGCCGCCGGTAGGCAAGAGGAGTATGTCGGCCCCGTTTGAGGAGCGCAGTGGGGTGGTTCCTTGCGGGACACCGTGGGGTCAGTGGTACCAGACTCTGGAGGAGGTGTTCATTGAAGTTCAAGTGCCACCGGGCACCCGTGCCCAGGATATCCAGTGCTGCCTGCAGAGCCGGCATGTGGCGCTGGCCGTGGGTGGTCGCGAGATTCTCAAGGTAGCGGCCAGAGGTGCCTTGTATTGTCTTCCTGGCCCCTCTTCATTCCCGAACCCGAAGCTTCCGTTCCCGAATGGAAAGGCCTTAGGGAAGTTCTGCGACGCCTCTGGCCGCATGAATGCTAACGTCCTGATTTTCGTCTGGTCGACTAGCCCAGAAGTGAGCCCATGTATTTCCCTTATTTTCAAACCAGACTAGGTGTTTCTCTGAGCGTCTTCAGTTAAGAACAATAATTAGCTCATTAAAGCACCTGATCTTCACTGAACTAGGTCCTGGTGGCACAACAGGGAATGTGGCAGTACGGGTACGTTGTTGAGGTGTGTGCTAAAGCAACTAATATTTAGGTCGGGTATTAGAAAATCAAGGAGCCCTGGTGTGCTTATGCGCTGTTCCGCAATATGCAGTTCGTAACCAACCATCCGCTCGAGGGAGAAAGACCAGGTTTTCTACTCTCGTGATCAGTCTCCGACAAAGGGGCTGTTCTACACCGTCCTATAGGGTCGCCGTGAGTCGGCATGGACTTGATAGCCGTGAGTTTGGTTGGGGTTTCATTAGAAAATTACTTTGTTGTACAACATATAATAAAATAAATGCACATACTATAATACTGTAACAACAGGGTAAGGTTTCAGAGATGACATAAGGTGATATATTTTCTTGGTTGAAATTCTAAAACTTCTGCATGCTTCTGGAGTGGGCCCCCCCTATGCGAAGGATGTGAAGACAATAATCAAACCCTGTTCCCAGTTACGTCTTCTCATTCATGCCCCCTTTTACTTTGTTAAGCTTGTAGCTAAATTTAATTCGCCAATTGTAGTTGGTAGTCTTTCTCAGATTAGGTGTCTGATGACTGTAGTTTGAGGGTGAAGGGAGGAGACGGTTGGATCGTCTGCCTCTGCCGGTTTTTAAATTTTCTAGCCTTGGCAAGAATCTGTTTCAGTGTCTCCAAAGCTTTTTTTTTTTTTCATTCTTATGAGGCGGGTAATTTCTCATGGGCCAGTGTGGTGATATCCATATGAAGAGTTTGTGCAAGTGATAAGCACATATGTCAGCCACTAATGTTTTCTATGGAAGTGTTTTGAGTGAGTGCCTCAGAGGAAAGGTAAAATTGCTTTGTACCAACTTGGATCTTAAAGGCCTCTCTGAATAGTGGTGCATTTTATTATTTCCTGAACAATGGATTAAGATTACAGTTCAAATTTCTTTTAGTAATTCTAATAACTTTAGCAATTTAGATGTCCTTGTAAATCAATAAGGTATGTGTTCTCACTGGTCAAGTTGACATACCCCAAATTGGTTTTGCATTTTATGCTGATTTCATTTCCTTTCCTAGCATTTCAATTTGGCAAGCAGCAGCAAATGAAAATTGATTTTACTGTGTGCATCCTCTCTTTTAAATACACATTTTGCGTATTTCTTTTTTTAGAACAACTATTTCAGAAAAATATCAGGTCACAACGAACCAGGTAGCAGATCTCAAGCAGTATGTGCTATAAAAAAACATTTAGTAAATGCCTAATTACCCATGAGAGATTGAAACAGTCTTTAAAAACTGACTTCTTAGTTTCAGCAAGAGGTCTCTTTTGATAGTTCATTTTAAGTGATAAAAGTAAAGCATTCTAGGTATTTACTTTACACTTGACTAGTGAGTGACAGGAAGTGTTTCTACATATTCAAGAGATGAAGGAGCTGTGATCTTTCTGACTGGCACATACACATACACGTTGGCAGAGTATCCCAAGCGCTGTGAAGTAGGCTCCCCTTCACTGGATGAGAGGAAACTTTCGACTGAGCATATATAAATGTAAAATACCACGACATTTCCTCTTCCTAGTCTAACAAAATTAAAAATTATATGTGGATCAAGTAAGCTAAAACCTTGAAAGCTTTATTATAAAAATTAGTGACATGTTATAATTTTACAAGTGTCTTGTATATATTTTTCAGGGCAAACTCTTTGATTCTACAATCGCTGATGAAGGCACATGGACATTGGGTGAGCATAATTGGTAATATTTCATTTCATAAAAGTCCTTTAAATTTTTAATTTTAACTTAGTATCCTTCATCCTTTTTTATAAGGGCCTCTTGTCTTTATAAGGGTGCCCTGGTAGCATAGTGGTTATGTTTGGGCTACGTTCTGCATGGTCAGCAGTTCGAAACCACCAGTATCTTCTAGGGAGAAAGACTGGGCTTTCTAGGTCTGTAAGCAGTTAGTTTGGGAAACTCACAAGGGATCGCTGTGAATCAGCATTGATTCCGTGGCAGTGAGTTTGATTTTGGTTTTGTCTTTATAAGGAGCCCTGGTGGCCAAGTGGTTACAGAGGTGGGCTGCTAAGTACAAGTCAGCAGTTCAAATCTATCAGCTTCAAGAGAAAGCTGAGGCTTTCTACTTAGTTAGTCTCAGAAATCCCCTGAGTTCTACCCTGCACTGTAGGTTCACTGTTAGAATTGACTCCATCGCAGTGAATTTTGGGTTCTTTTCCTTTATAGCTTTGAAAGTTAATGTAGTTGAAAGTTACACATTTAAAAACAGCTGTATATCGAGTACCAAATGATTTTAAAAATGTATGAAACCTAATTATTTTTACTTATGATTTTTACTTTTTGTTTATAGAGGACAGAAAGATGGTCCGAATTGTTCTTACAAAGACAAAAAGAGATGCAGCAAATTGCTGGACTTCTCTTCTAGAATCTGAATATGCAGCTGATCCTTGGGTCCAAGACCAAATGCAGAGAAAACTGACATTGGAGAGATTCCAGAAAGAAGTGAGTCAAACAAGTGTGTATGAACTCAAAATAATCACTATTATACTTACTCCTCACTTATTGATTATCTTGTTGGCACTTTGTACTCACAATAGTAGTTTAAAAAAACAACAACAAAAAAACCCTCCACCTATTTTACCCGTAAGTGCCATACATCTGGTGGTGACGAATGCCAAAGCCCAAGTGAAGGAAGATCAGCCCTGGATGTGATAGTGAAAGTTATGTGTCAGTTTGAGTCTTGATTTCATTGGTTTGGCATTTATGCAATGATGTATATAATGGACAGTTATAGAATGATTATACTTATGATATATAATGAGAATTATATAACAACAGTGTAATGATTAATTTGGCAGTTATGTAAACATGTAGTCATCCTCTAGTTTTTGGATATTTTGTGATCATTCATTTTTCCAGAAGGCCAGTTTCTGTATAATGACGTAGTCTTTGGAACCTAACCTTAAAAACACAATGTGGTTATGAAAAGTTACAAAAATTCTTCAGATCAGTTTTCTTAAAGTTAAATGTTTAGAAAATTGACTGGCGCTTTTAGGTATAGTTATGATTAATTTCCCTTAAGATGAACTTTGGTTTATTTGTACTGCCAAGTTACTGTTCATTGAGTATACCTAAGTAATACTTGAATAGACACAAAAATTGAATGATTAGCTTACATGCGATAAAAAGTGATAGGCCCCTCTACCAACATCCCTGCATACCATGCTCCTATCTCATTCTTAGATGTTGTTGTTTTTATTTAGTAACATAAATGAGGGGTCACTGTATCCTTTGACTTTTATTCTTTACTTGATTTTTCCTTTAATATAGTACATCTTGGGTCTATTTTCATGTAAGTACAGATACATAAACTTTTTAACGGCTTCTAAGTATTTTATAATTTGTATCTTAATAATTTAGCTAGTCATACTCTTTTATAGAATTTAGATTTATTTTTCTCTATTTCAAGCCAGACTTGTACTTTCATTTTTGTGAAACTGTTCAAACGTTCCCGCAAGACCGATATCTATAAAATTTCAGTCAATAATTTTCATGTATGTGCTGCTACTTCCCAAATATATGTCTCTAGCTTGATCTTTTCTTCTCAGCTTTGGACCCAAATGCCAATTGGCTAGTCAGCATCTCGCCTTGGAGCCCAAGTATATCTAAACATGTCCAAAATGAACGTCCCTTAATCCCTTCTAAAATGTGTTCTATCTCTTGCCATCAGTCTCTTACTTGATGGAAACTATTTGCTCAGGCCAAAACGAACTTGGGAATCATCCTTGATTCCTGTTTTTCTGTCAACCCCATTCAGTTTTTTTAGGAAATCATACTGGCACTAAGTCCCAAATATACCCAGAATGTTGCCACTTCTCACGAGCAACACTGCTACCACACTCATCTAAGCACTTAGACTCAGTGTCTCTGTGTAGGCTTTCCAAGACTATAAATCTTTACAGGAGCAGACAGACTCATCTTTCTTGGGAGTGAAGCAGCTGGTGGTTTTGAACCGCCAGCCTGCCAACAGTTTGATTAGCACCCCAATGCATAATAACCCACAGCACCACTAGGGATTCTCCTAATTGATCTCCTCACTCCTACCATTACCTAGCTATAAGCTAAACAAAGCAATTTGAAAATACTTTACATTATACTTTAAAGCCAGATCATGTCACTATTCAGAACTCTGAGATTCGTTCCCCATTCATTCTAGTAAAGCACAAGCAATTATTATCTCCTATTACTATTCCCTCAGCAGTGTACTTTAGCCTTCCAGACAATACAGGTCTGTTTGCGGTTCCTGAAGCCAGCCAGCCATTTATTTCCTTCTGATTGAAGTTCTTCCACAGATCTGATTGGCTAACTTATTCATTACTTGCAAGTCATTGCTCACTGAAATAATATTTTGATCATTCTGTTTAATTCTAGAATCTTTTCCCCATTTCTTATGACCCCCCCCCCCTTTTTGTGAAATAATAAAGCTTCACTGGGACACAGCTATGCTCATTCTCTTTTGTATTGCCTATGACTGTTTTCACAAAATGGCCCACAAAGCCTAAAATACTACCTGGCTCTCTTACAAAAAAAGTTTGATGACCCTTGGACTGGATAATTTATGCTTCATTGCTTTTTAATGCTACAATGTTTCTTGCTACTCCCAGAAAGATGAGTCTGTCTGCTCCTGTAAGGATTTATAGTATGAGAGCAGGGATTTTTGGTTTCTGAGTAGAATTGTGAGTGCCTTGGGCTTGACCAAGGGCGATGTAGCAGAGAGGAATTACTGAAACCTGAAAGAAGGCTGAACACGATAGTGGACAAGAGGAAAGTAAAAGGAAATAGAGGAAAGAACTAGGGAGCAAAGAACATTTATAGAGGCTTAAATGCAGGCATGGACATATGTAAATGTATATATGATGATGGAAAAATAGATTTATGTACATATATGTTAAGTATTAAGGTAGCAGATGGACATTGGGCCTCTTACTCAAGTACTCCGTCAATGCAAGAACATTTTATTCTAATAACCCAGCATTCTGTGATGCTCACCTTCCCAATAGGATCACTGAAGACAAAATGGGTGCATAAGCAAATGTGGTGAAGAATGCTGATGATACCCAGCTATCAAAAGATAGAGCTTCTGGGTCTTAAAGGCTTGAAGATAAACAAATGACCATCTAACTGAGAAGCAACAAAGCCCACATGGAAGAAGCACACCAGCCTGTGTGATCATGAGATGTCAATGGGATAAGGTATCAGGCATCAAAGACCCAGAACCAAAAAAATCATATTAAAGTGAATCAGGGGGAGTGTGGAGTGGACACCCAAAACCCATCTGTTAGACAATCGGACATCCATGCCCTTACAGAAGGGTCTCAAGGAAGTGACAAGCCAGTCAGGGTGCAGTATAGCACCAATGAAACACACAACTTTCCTCTATTTCTTTAGTGCTTCCACTCCCCCACTATCATGACCCCAATTCTACCTTGCAAATCTGGTTAGACCAGAGGCATGTACACTGCTACAGATAGAGCTGGAAACACAGGGAATCAAGGACAGATTAAAGCCCTCAGGGCCAATTATGAGAATAGCAGCGATACCAAGAAAGTCAGGTTAAGGTTGGGGGGGGGAGCGGGGGAACCAATCACAGTGATCTACATATAACCCCCTCCCTGGGAGACAGATAACAGAAAAATGGGTGAGGGGAAACAGCAGTCGGTATAAGACATGAAAAATAATAATTTTTAAATTATCAAGGGTTCATAGGGAAGGAGAGTGGGGGAGGGGGGAAATGAGCTGATACCAAGGGCTCAAGTAGAAAGAAAATATTTTGAAAATGATTATGGCAACATGTATAAATGTGCTTGACACAATGGGTTGTGATAAGGCCTGTTCGAGCCCCCAATAAAATGATTTAAAAAACAAACAAAAACAATCATCACTGCTATTGAGTTGATGCCGACTCATAGCAACCTTAGAGGGAAGGATAGAGCGACCCCTGTGAGTTTGAGACTGTTACTCATTGCAGGCATAGAAAGCCCCTACCTTTCTCCCACACACAAACAATGACTCAGTAAATATTTGTTGACTAAATTACTCTAGAAAAACTGAAACCTGAGATGATAGTATAGCCTAACAGTCAAGACATCATGGTCTGGCTACATGTTGCCCAAATCCAAGTTTCTCAGTAGAAAAATGATGTTGGGCAGATTCCCTAATTTCAAGTACAGTGAGATAGTTAATAAGATTGTTGTAAGACTAAATGTGTAAATATATATAGCTCTTAGAACCCCGCCTGGGAAACAATCTGTTTTTAAAAATATTCTCAAGTAAAGCCTGCTTACACATTAATAATGAAATTTGTTTTAAATTCCATGCTTATCAACACTGTAAAACATCAATTTTTAAATACTTGTCTAAGTCTGTAAGTTATAAAACGTTATCATTACATGTGCTTATTGGCCATTTTAGATTTTATTTTTGATCATTTGCATCTTTTTTATAATTTCCTTTTGGGCTACTTATACTTTCCTTGTAAGATATAATTTATTATAATTTTTATTTATATCTTTCAGAATCCTGGTTTTGATTTCAGTGGAGCAGAAATCTCAGGAAACTACTCCAAGGGTGGACCAGATTTCTCAAATCTTGAGAAATAACTGCTATGTGTGTTTTTATTTTCTGCATTCCATGGATCCTTGCAGATGTTGCCAACCTAATCAAAGAAACAGATTATGTTGCCAACCTAATCAAAGAAACCGTTCATCCATAGAAGAACTACGGACGCCTACTTAAGAAACCTCAAAGTACATTTCAAAAGTTTTAAATATTGCACTCAAATATGATTTTTATAGGAAACGTCTAAACAATGAGAATCCTTCTGTGGATAATAGCCTTTTCCCCTTGATTTTGCTTAGAACGGAGTTTTATATGTTGCATTTTACTAATTTCATATTTGACTTTTTTAATATAAAAAACATCAGAAAACATGCAGATATAGATGACAAAATGGCAGGGTTCTTTCAGAAAACAAGCTTTTGCTTAGATTAAGTGTGGTGCAGTAATAATATTCAATAAACTTTTTTTTTTTGAATAAACTTTTCCAGTAGTTTGTGAGATATGTGTGTGAGATTTGCTCATTAGATGGTATCCACTGGACTTCTCCAGGTGTAAAACTGTACTTTTTCTGTAAGTGATTTGTGGGAAGATAGTTTCTGAGCAGGATTTCAGACCGATTCAGTCATGGTTGGCATAGTGGAAGCATAACAGACACACCTGCATTTGTAAACTGAGGGTGTCAAAATAACCAGAACAAGAAAAATTGCGGGTTAAAGCCTTGGAATGGGAGACTTGCACGAGGAGTATTTATCCCTTTCAGGAGTGTGACTCAGGTGATTGGATTATTACTGGAACTGGAGAGCCACACACATTCAAAATGCCAGGGCTAGCTGCCATCTCTGGGCACTGGTTTGCAATTCTGCTGATCAAGAGATCGAAGCATGTGCAATTTGCATCTGCCCTTGTTTTCTAAAAGGACATTGTTTCTGGGAGGAGATTAAGTTTACAGGATGGTGTCAACTCATAGTATTTTCCATTCCAGTTGTTCCAGTACACTCACCATTTACTTCAGGTCCGGTCCAGTTTGGCATTGGCCTTGACTGAATTGGGAAGAACCAGTTCAAAGCAGTTTCAAAGTACTGTTGTTTCTCATCAAATTTTTCATTTACTATGTCAGTATTTTTTCATGCTACCTATTTTATTCAGTTAAAAGCTATTATTAATTTGGTGCTCTCAAAATTACTCCAGATTTGACCAGTGAAAAACCATTTAGGTAATATATGTGCCCTTTTGACATGACCCCATCTTTCAGATTTTCTGACACTGATTTAGATTCACTATGCTTTCCCGTCTCTAGCTCGGTAATCATTTTTGCAAGGAGCTTTGCCTCTCTTTAGTGGAGAAGAGTTTAGAAGCCAAGATCTGTGTGTGAGATTTGTTCATTGCTGTTGGCGTATATGCATAATGTGTTTATGTCCATATTTATTTCTACATGCACATTTAAAACTGGGTCCACATTGATAACTTTCATTCCAGGTCCATGAGTTTCGTTTTAATTTCAGCTCCATATTTGTAGTTTCCTTCTACAAGAGTGGGAAACCTAGTTCTTATTTTCTTGTGCATATGAAGTCATGCCAAGTTTTTCACTCACTTTTAAAAATCAAGTTATTTTCTTACTGTTGAGGTATGAGTTCATTGTGTACTGTAGATCAGTGGTTCTCAGCCTGGGGGTCGAACATTCCTTTCAGAAGGTTCACCCGGTTCATAACAGTAATGAAGTAGCAATGAAAATAATGATATGGTTGGGGGGGTGGTCACCACAACATGAGGAAGTGTATTAAAGGGTCGCGGCATTAGGAAAGTTGAGAACCCCTGCTCTAGAAGCAAATCCTTTGTTGGATGCAATTTGCAACTTCCTACCTTAACTCCTGGCATCCTGGTAGTGTAGTGGTTATAAATGGGGCTGTGAACCACTTGCATCATCAGGTGCTCCCCATGGGAGAAAGATGGAACTTTTTATTCCAGCAAAGAATGTCTTGGAAAGCCACAGGGGCAGTTGTACCCTATCTATTGGGTTGCCATGAGTCAGCATTGAAGTGATGGCAATGAGTTTTTTTGTTTTTTTCTCCCACTCTTAGAAGTTAGCTGCTAACTATATGGTCAGCAGTTTGAACCACCAGCCACTGCAGTTAAAAATTAATCTTGGAACCTCACAGGGACAGTTCTGCCCTGTCTTTTAGGTTTGCTATGTGTCAGAAATAACTCGATGGCAGTGAGTTTGAGTTTTTAAAATATCAGGGTGTTTTTTAATATAACTTGAAAGAGGCACAATTTGTCCCGCTATGGTTAAGAACCCTTTCCCTAACATGCCCTTTTTTGCTTGCTCTAGTTTTACTTTTAGATAAGATGTAGAGTTTAGGTAGATGTTTATGTTTTTATATAACTCGGGTACTGCTATTTCAAAAGCTTATGTTGAAAATACTACCCTTCCTCTATTGAATTGTTTTTATACTTAGTAAAAAAATATCAATTATTTGTTTTGAATTTAAGGTTTGTTTAATGACCCAGTTCTACTTTGCAACACATGGGGTTACCATGACTGAGACAATTATATTGTATTTTAAACAACTAACAACAACAACAAAAAAAACCAAACCCACGCCATCAAATCTATTCTGATTCTTAGAAACCTTACGTAGGGTATCTGAGGTTGTACTCCATTGGTTATGGAGAAGACAGTCTTACCTTTCGCCTGAGTGGTTGGTAGGTTTGAACAGACCCTGAGATTTAGCAGTCCAGCTCTGCGCTAGCAGCGCCACCAGGGCTCCTTTGGAAAGATCATCATTAGGTAATAGCCATACTACTTAGGTGTTACTTTTTCTGCCACCATGCATCTACTTTAGCACTACATTTAAATATGGGCATCCTTTACTGTAGTTCTGCTATCAAATTCCCAATATAATTAAATAAAAACAAAACCACCTAGCAAAGCCGTGCATTTCAACTTTATTGAAAGGTATGTATATCCCTTAATACCAAAGCATAAATGGTAGTTGTTAGGTTACCTCTATCAACTGAAAATTACCACTGATGTATTCAGATATTTGAAATGTTCTCAGCTGTACAGGAAACAAAAGTGAACCACAAAAACCGTTTACAAAAAGTAATTTTAAGAGATACTATGATTCTTTGGTTTATTTATTTAGTGTATATTTACTCAAACACCTATAACACGATGTCCAAAGTAAATCTGAATTTGTTGCAACCAGTCTGGATGGTCTCAGAGTAACTGTTTACAATGCTTTACACACTGTGGTCTCCTTACATTCACTGACTTACATGGAACATCCAAAACACGATCCCAGCTACTTTGTTGTTATTAAGGTGCCAGCTTAAGATTTTATTTTGGCACAGTATGGGCACTTAATGAGATTATGTTAAAAAAAATTACAGGCAATTAATAGTCTTACAAAAACAGGCCTAAAAACAAGAGTGTTCAATCGAACTTGAACTTGTATTAGTGGGGTAAACCAAATTTCCAGCATTCATTTATTTTGAGTTTCTAGTAAGTGAAATTAATTTCTCAGTGATTGAAGCTAGCTAGATTGAGGCAGTAGATTCTGTATAAAAGGTTTTTATCCTGGATAAAATATCTCTGCTTTTCTAGGAAAAAAAACACATTAAAGATAATGAGTATGTCAAACTTGAGAGGTCTTTATTTAAAGTTGCTATGCAAAATGACTCCAAAGGTAAATGTCTCCAGGTGGCAACGATGTCCACATACATGGATTATGTATTTTCATTGTGGGTGCCAAGAAGCTATTTATACTGCCCAACACAGTAATCCTTGTTATGTCTTAACACACATTTGTATATGCTGCTTTTGATGTAAGCCTCATAGTACGCACAACTAGAATTACTTGAGTTTAATAGGGAGAGTGAGGGAAGAGAGATCAAGCAAAAGGCTAGAGTTAACCAGGTGACCTGGAAGATAGTAAAATGACTTAGTTTAAATACATTCATCCAGTAGAGAAATTGAGACCAATATTTAAATTCACAGTTTTACTTCCCCAGGTTTATCACTACAATTTCACATTTACGTGTGTAGCTTCAATATGTATCCATCACAGATGAATTCAAACGTAAATAGAACTCCACTATAGCATAATGTTGAGTAACCGATTTGCCCAAGTCAGAACACCAATGCTAACCTAATGTTTTAAGGTTTCACAGTTTAAATCCATCATAACATTATGGACTCCATAGCTTAGGGTTGTAGAGCAGCGGTTCTCAACCCGTGGGTCGCGACCCCTTTGTGTGTGTGTGTG